GAGCACCATCTTGCTGGAAATATACAGTATTTAGTATTTCTTCTTGTTCTAGTTGAGGATAAAAGAATAGTTCTAGCATATCCGTGTAATTGTTTCCATATACTGTTTCCTCTTGAAAGAAAAATGGTCCATAAATTTTGGTTTTGGACACACCACACCATACATTTACCTTGGGAGCATCTCTTTCAAACTCGTTGAAAGCTCTAGGATTTTCGTCACCCCAAATCCTACAATTGTGTTTGTTTACGCGTCCACTTAAATGAAACGTTGCTTCATCTGACATTATTAGATTTACATTTGGTTGATGTCTAAATAAATCTAATAAAGTTTCACGCATAAAAACTCTCTTTTTAAATACATGATTTTCAATTTTATGAAAAGTCTGAACCTTATATGCTTTAAACTTGATTACTTTTAAAATTTTATGCACCTTACTCTTTGACATATGTATGGATTGGGCAATTTTTTTAATAGATATTTTATTATTGTTTCTTGCTAAAATTTCTCTTATCTGTATAACATCATTTAAAATAATATCTTGAGCGTTTTCAATTTGTCTTTTTTTCTATCTAGTGTTCCCGTTTCTTTAAACTGACTTACCCAGTTTAAAATAGAATTTCTGGTTGGCGAATTTTTTTCAAACATATTTCTAAATCTTCTTTGTGTATGTGTAATTGATCTACTTTCAATATAAAGTAAAACGCACCGGGCTTTTTCACTTTTGATAAACATTTTTTAATACCTGCTTTCTCTTGCACTAATTAATACAAATATAGACTTCTGTCAACTCGATTTGTTTTACATAGCACCCTTGATAAATTAGTAGTATCATTTATTGACTCATTCATATTTTATCCAAAGCTGAGTAACATGGGCGAAGTTAGGGGGGGGCTTGGGGGGGCTAAGCCCCCCCAAAAACCAAATTAGCCCCCCCAAAAATAATTCGAACATTTATCGCACATCTATCCACACATTTCAGATTTCAGAACAGAAATTAATAAGTAAAGAAAAATCGTGCCATTTGATTGATTCTGAAATTTTACATTTAGTTCAGGAGGCAGTGAATTTTACTCGTACTCATTTTTCCAATCGGTGTATATGAAAATAAACTGTTCTCTTAGTGACAAAAAAACAAACATTTTGAGTCTGACACTTATTTTCCCAGTCATAAATATTTTACATTTACTAAACTAGAATAAATCTTATAAAAATAGCAGTTTGGAATATCTCAGATAGTGGAAAGTGAGTGTGGCAGAAAATTTAGCATATAAATTGATACAATCATGAACTGTTAATAATAATAAGTCTGGCTGATTTACGAAATTGGCAAATGAGTCTGGTAATATCTTCATAATCGAAAAAATATAATATTTTTGCTTTTATTTTCCCGGGTTTGCAAATTTGTCATGTGATAGATTATATTATAATTTTACAGCTCTATTTTATAGCAGATCAAATACCGTTATTTTCAAACGCGTCCATGAAAAATTTCCGGAAATTTTTCTTTTGGTGGATACCCTGAACGAAATTATACTGAAAATTTTTTTGACAGTTGAGAAGCTCTTTTATGCATATGTTTTATATGTTGTTCTATGGCTAGCCTTGAAAATATGATTTTAGTCTTTTTAATGTATGTCTGTCAAGTTTTGAAATTTGGATATTTTGGTGTAAAATTTTCTTACCCAATACCTACCACTGGTGCCTAAATTATTATCAGTAAATGTTTGCTCACTCACGCATATTTTAAGAAAAATATCAATCGTCTTCGACTCTGGATAAATTTCAAAATATTCGTAAGTTCGAAAAAAATTTCGGAAATAATTTAGGCACTAGTGGTATTCTAAGTGAAAATATAGGTCTGGCTGACAATTAAAATCACGAAGGCCTGCTAGACTCACAAGTAGTGTTCGGCCGAAGGTTCGGTTACGGTTTTCGCCAACTTCGGCTTAAAATAAGAGTTTCGACTACAATTTCGGTTTCGGCGGAAAACTGGCCGAAACTGCAGCCAACTACGAAACTACTTTCGAAAGTTTTCGTATCACACTTGGTTGTGTCCGGCACAATAGCGACTGTGCCGGGTGCCATTCCTACACAGTGCACGTACTTCTCTGCTTTGTTTCAAGTGAACAGTCTTCAGTGCTCCTGGCCTAATTTATTCGTATCAAAGGAGCATTTTTTTAGGTGAAACGTGGAAAAAATATTATTTCTAGCCTACAACGTTAGACTGTTTACTTATGAATATTAATTTAATTATAAGTAACAAACATATTTAATTATCTGAATTTGTTTTTTTTTTTAATAAAAATTACATTATATATAATTCCCTTCATAATACTAATTTTTGTTACAAAAAATCTAGAGACAGATGCAGAAATGATTGCTACTTTGTAATTCACTTATTTTTTTTAGTTTCAAAAGTAATAAAAAAAAGCAATGTCAATAAATTTATTAATGGCTTCTTTTGATCACATAAATAAATAGGTAATAAGTAAATGTAGCTAAAATTTATAATACGAGTTAATTAGTCTTAAACAAAGATATTGCAAATTTCAATAAGAGATTGCCTTAAAAGAAAGTTCTTATTTCTGTTTCGGTTTCGACCGAAACTAAGAAAGGAGCCGAAATTGGGTTTCGGTTTCGGTTATAAAACCGTATTTCGGTCGGACCTGACAATCCAGGTAGTTAAACGAGGAGAGGAATAGTAATCGAACGAGCAGAATTTAGCGCGCCTGACGATCATTAGACAAGTCTGGCAAGGCTTGCGGGGTATTCCACATTAGCCAGATTGTATTTTAAGCTGTTATCATAATATACATTTTTCTAGTACTGAGGACACTTGTAACAGGGATCCTTACTGGGCATTACCAACTAAAAGGACACCTTAGTAAACTGAGAGTAAAAGAAAATAGTGAGTGAAGATTCTGTGAGGAGAAGGACGAAACCTTCATTTATATTCTAACTGAATGGGTAGCACTCCAGAATCCAAGGGCACTATACCTAGGAGCATATCAAATAGAAACTTGAAGCCACTCCAAATCCTACACTTCCTTGAGAAGATATAATTGAAAGGGTCGTTATAGGCATTGAGACATTTCCTTGATGCATTAGCGACAGAAGGGGGTACAATAGATATTTTAGGTCGCAGTGTATTAACACCCCATTCCCAACATAACATAGCGAGAAAACTGCAAAATGATGAAATCCACAAATCCCAGTTCATATTTTGGACATCCAACTACTATTATTTTTAAAATTTTAAATTATGACAAAATGTCAGTATATTTTTTAGTCATTAAGATTACATATACGGTAAAATTAGTTATTTTTGTTTAGAATCGATAAAAAATAACATTTTAATTTTATTTGGGCCACATTTAAAAAAGTAAATTTTAATCAAATTGTATGAAACTAATTTAATTACGAGTATAAAATTAAAAACCTAAACGTGGCGGTGGAGCTGAGGACAGAGCATTTGCCTTCCACGCGAATAGCCTGGGTTCGAATCTGGACTAGGGGCTAATTTTTTTTATGTTTTTTATTTTATAAATTAATAAAATTTATAAATTATTTTAAAATGGCTTATTTTGTCTAAATCTAAAATAATTTTTTAAATTTGTAGATTTTCGTTAGTAGTTCGTAGAAAAAATATACTGTACAACTCGAGTGGATTGTCCATATCTACTCTTGTTGCGAAAATTAGGGAAATTTTTGTGATGAAAATTATTGTGATGAAAATTATTCAGTTTTTTCACTTATATATGATATTTTATTCATTTTCATAGATTCGCCAGAATTTTTTTACTTAACTTCAGTATACCTCTAGAACATATTACATATTATATGACTAGGGTTAGGGCTTTAGCCCCCCCAGATCTGATGACATAACTTCGCCCATGCTGAGTAAGTTAATTTACAAAAAGAGGAATATTAAATAGACAAAAAAAAACAGATATAGGTACATATTGAAAACGCTTAAGACATTCTTTTAAATGATGATTTATGAATAAAGGCTTGCAAATAAACGTTACAAATACGAAGAATTTTATTCATCATAAGCCCTTAATCTGAATTGGTAAAAGTAATATTTTACGAACATTTTAGATATTTGAGACTTTACAACCATTTTATAAAAAGATTAAACATTTTCCAGAATTTTAGTCAAAACCTTTTATCAATAAATTGTCACATTATCGAGTTAAAGGCTTTTAAATTGTGATACTTTACGTTTAGAAGTTATCGACATGGTTTCATAAAAAAGTAAATTTTTCCCAAAAAATTTGAATAAATGCTTACAATGAATACATTTTTGGAAAGGGAAAGAAATGGTCTTTCCGAGGATGTTAAAAATTATAGGGTGTTCTATTTAAAATAAGCTCACAATTTTGATTCAAAAAAGTTCGTTTTTTTTTTCGGCACTTTCTAGAAAAAAATGACATGTGACAACAATCTCAAGAAAAATTTGAAGTAAATCTAATAGGTCTAGTGAAAACTGCATCTCGATATCTTTTTACGTTTTCGAGTTATAAGTTGTTAAACTGTATCAATTTATAGTATTTAAATAAAATAAATATTGTAATAATTTATTTTTCTTCCAAAAATTGGCGTATTTTGGTAGATCTCATAAGTTCGGCCCTGCAATATTGTTTATTATAAACATTATCAAGGCACACGATAATAGGTTCGGAGGTTATCTGACCAATGTAAAATACTCGTTTCATTAACTCATAACGATAGAGGTTTAATTTTTTAATGAATGTTAAAAATTGACGTGTCAAAATAAATAGATACCTACGAATATAATATCTAAATTATTAAATTTAGAATAATTTTTAATGAAAATTTAGACCTAAAAATTTATTATGCATTAAGTAAATAAAATTACATGTAAAATATAATAACAAAAATAATAAAACCGTTTATTTTCCATAATAATATCATAATTATCTACATATAAAACGATACAAATAACTAAAAAAATAAAAACACTGGGTAATAAATATTTTCCGTTTAAGTCATATTGTTACTTAAATAAAATACCATCCAATCAAAGCATTTATAAAATATTCTTTTTCAACATTCCCCAGATCATTATCTTGTAAATCTAAACTCAAAAAAGTCGAATTTTCAAAAGCTCTTCTGTGAATAAAATTAATCTTATTGCCTGACAGTCTCAATAACATCGGATTTGGAAAACCATTAAAAATTCCAATATCTATTCTTTGCAACATATTGTCACCGAGATGTAGAGCTAACAAATAAGGCATATTTTCAAATGATCCAAATTCTATGTAGTCTATTTTGTTGGAATTCAGCAAAATTTTTCTAAAATTGGTACCACTAAAAACTCCCCTCTTGATCGTATGCAGTTTATTATTGCTTAACGAAAGAATCTGTAGGGCATCCTCGTATATAGGATGAACATAATGAAATGTACCCGGTTCTATTTCAGAAATTTGGTTTCTATCACAATAAAGTTCATCGACCATTACAAGATTGAACATTCTTCTTCTTAGTATTCTTAATGGATTCTCTATTATATATATTTTGGCTGCTTTTACATTTTTAAATGCTTCTGGTGCTATTGTTTCTAATGAACAGTTTTTTATTGTTATATTTTGTTCAGATCTGTTAATAAATGAGTGTTTTGATAAGTACGGTAACGGTCTGTCCACTATATAAGAGTCCAAACGAAATTCTTGCGCCAAAATTATTACGGCATTAGTAAACATAAATAAAAAGAACGATTCACTACACAGTAACATTTTGTTAAGATATATGAATGTATACTGAACTAGGTTGTTTATTTTAATTTACGTTATCCATTCACAGAGTTGGCTTGAGATTATTTTTGAACTCATTGCTCTTCTCTCCTTTATACAGGGTGTTAGATATTATACCCGCATAAGTTTAATCAACTGTAATTAAAAAAACCCTTATTTATATCAATATGTATACTAAATGTGTAACATTTTAAAATTCACCTTTTAAAAATGTTATTTTGAATGGGTGACATCCTGTATAAATGGCAACTTCTGGAAGCTACAGGTTGTGAACGTTTCAGCTGAAACCATAAGAAAAAGACTTAGCTCCCGAGGATTGTACAAAAGGAGAGAGTTACAGGTCCCACAGTTATCTAGGTAAAATAAAATTGACCAGCTAAATTGGTCCCTTCAACACCAAAACAAGTTCTCCGCTTAATGAAAATTAAATATATTTCAAAACAAATTAAATATTACAAAATTGAGGACTTACTGCTAGTTACCGCTGCAGTTGTATACTATTTCTTATAGTTGAAGTCCATTCTTCTGGATTTTTGGCTAGCGAAGTGATCGATGACCAAATTATTAAAATTTGGAATATGAACCGAATAAGTTTTTCTTCGATGGATAACATGGCTAACGCGCACAATCTCTCTTGGCACATAGTGTTCCTTAAACATGTTTTAATACGTTTTAGTGTCGAAAACATCTTTCACTCTCCACTGTGGTCATGGGAATTGTACACAGGATAGTTAGCAGCTCCACAGATTCCGAAAATGTAACTATCAAATTGTTCTCAAAAAACATTTGTAATAACGGTACGGCCTCAATGTGTTGCACAAAGTTATTTCGGTTGTAAAGTATGAACAGTTCGTTTTTGAATTTTAAGCTGTTTACGTTTGGAAATAAACTACACACAGTTTTAACGTTCTCATTTATGAAAAACAACCTTGGTAGTCTTTAAATTTTTCACTATCAAATAAATTTGCAATTGTTAGGTGGGTAGTAAAACTAAAACGTTCATTTACCTGCACTACTATTGTATCACAAATTTCCTTACATATCCTTAAATTAGGAATGGGGTTCTCCTCTTCAACAAACCGTCTCTTCTTGCTTGTATTTGGACCTGATTGGGTGTTGTCGTTTAAGTTTAGTTTTTGTGAATCTTGTTGTGATTGCCATTCTTCATGAATTAGCGTGTCTGTATTATTTCTAATATTTTGAATAGCTGCTGCAAAATTTGATATATTTATTTTAACCTTGAGAGCATCGAGCTGTCTACTCTGCAGTTGATCAAAAAGTATATCGCAATTTGGCATTATTTTGCTAAGAAAAATAACCAGAAACTAAAATCGGTCTTTCAAAATTTATCAACCCTTTAGTCTGATTAATAGTGTTTTTTATTGAATTCTGTGTTCATAATTTCTTCGATACATCAAATCCTCTTTATAAACATAAATAGTATTGACACACTTTTCGATGTAAAATTCCATCGTGTAGGAGCATTTTAAAGCATAGGACTGAAGAAAGGGTGTTTGGCAATTTAAAATCTCCCAGCGAAAAATTTCTTTTTTATATTTTCAAATTTTATATCTCTATTTGATAGTTTGTCAACTAAGCCTGGAATTTCTAACATATACCTTTTTGAGATGAGTAAAATAAAATTTGGTCATCCTTGCCAACAATTTGCGAAAATGTATACCATTAAATTATTTATTATACTCTTAAATATGCAAACAGAGATTTGAAATCCTCGAAAAAGTCAGACAAAACCAAGAGAAAAATTAAATAGTTGTCCCATTTATAAATATTATTGATTTTTGACTGCTTTATATAAAAAAAGTTATTTTTCTTTGTAGTTTTATTTCTTAACTATTCCAATGCTCCAACTAACATTTTTTCATAATCACAATAAATAAATTATTATCATAGTCCAACAAACGCGCACCTTAGGCCAAAACCGGCATCGCCATTGTGAGGGAGCCGGTAAAGATGCCGCTGCGTACATTTGTATCTGGTCTAGGTAATCTGTGCCATGGGTACAGCACGTCACGGTAAGGACAGCGTCCCGCTTGTGACGTATAATCCATCGCATATGTTCATTTCTTGGTAAGCGATATTGTCGCTGTCCTTGTTTTTCGCATAATAATGAGAGAGAAAACAACAGAGGCACACATTTACTGTGCCCTGTGCCCATCTTCCACTTAATTTCGGAATTCTCGGAACATCGCTCAAGGCCCGGTCGTCCAGTGTCGTGTCAACGCGGATTGCGCTGAATATTAGATAAAATAATAATAGGCATTGAGGAAAATATAAAATATGTAAGTTATTTTTTTTTTTGGTTTATTATACTAGGGCACGTGTCCAAGTGCCCTTACGGGCAAACCGCCACTGAATGTACTACACATCTAGTGCAGTTGTGAATTGTACTAGACTGGCAACACTGGTTTGGCAACCTTGTTTGTGAGCGGCGCGCCTATTAATGTGTGCTTTTGCAGTTTGAAGGATCTGTTGGCGTGTTGTCTTCCCTTTTTAGCTATATGCATTCGCTAAATCGTCTTACTCGTGTTAGGCTCACTCATCATAATGCGCCACAGACACAGTATACTTAGGTATACTGTGCCATAGAGACGCGATCAGCCAGAGGACAATGATGTACCACAAAATATAGATTAATACGTATGAAAATAAAAATATTAAAATTAAATTTATATTTTTATGTAATTTTAAAATAATGTGTTTTTATGAAATTTAACTGTGTGTTCACTGCACAAATGAACCAATGGAGAAACTGCCCCTGATATTAGATGTACTTGTGCTTGTAACACAATGGAAACCATTTTAAACAATTCATAAAGTGGTAAAGATAATTTTTTTTGGTATATCATTATCATACGAATTTTTTTTAAAGAAATTGCATTATTTATATTTAGAAATTTACAAAAATAGTATAACAAATAAAGGTTGCCATTTAAAGTTTCAAGAGTAGTTGCCCTGGTTGTCAGGGGGTTGAAAGTAATAACAAATGCCTCAACAAATTGTCCCGCTTGATATGTAAATTGACGTGTTTCATTATTGGTAGAGGCAATGTTAAATGCTGTTCATTTTCAAATTGATACCCAGTATCTATGTTAAGTATATTAAAATTGATTTAACATTTTAAGGAATATCCAAAAATTAAAATCCACTGAGTTGCTAAAGGGATAATTAATAGTATATTGTTTCACGAGTGACGAAAAATGATTTTCGACGAGTAAAACACTATACTTTTTTTACGAACTCTATTATGTCATGTAGGTACCTACTAAAATGAAAAAAAAAAAAAAAAACAAACGTTAGCAAATGCTTTATTTTGTGTTAGAAATTAACCAACAACTAAATATTTCAGAAATATTATTTATTATTTAAATATTGATTTATTGTTATATTTGAACAATTGTTCAAAATTATGGAGGTATCACACTCAAGCTTTTTATTTATTGAGGTAGATGCCGACATATTTGTTCTACTGTTAAATGTCATTTCAGATGATGATGCGCCATAATCGGATGAACTAGTAGTTTCCTTATTTTGTACAGATTGTAAAATTTTGGTTTGTATTTGGTTTTTACTGTTCGTGGATTCATCAACATATCCTTCCGCAACACTACTAGATTTCCAACCACCGTGCTTTTTTAACAAAAGCAAGTCACCTCCTGCATCCACTAATAGCGTTGCGGATGTTCTGCGGAAACAGTGCCCAGTGTAATCTTGAGGATTCGGAAGCGTTAAAAACTAAGCAATTTCGTTAGGAAATTTACTGATTTTATTAATTCCATAACAACCTGTCTGCTACACTTTCCATTCTGATAGTTAATAAAGAATCTTGAATTAATTTGATCCATGTTTGCGGGACGTAGGCTCATATATTTTTTAGAAATATCATAAAAGGGTCCAGAAATATGAAAAGAACGCGAAACTTTTGTTTTTGTATTACGGATTTTCACTAACAGAATACTTCCAGTATCCTTTACATCGCTTATTGTTAAATCTTTTAGTTCGTGGCAACGACAAGCGCCAGATAATCCAAAAACTAATGCTACCTACAAATATTAGTAGTTATGTATTAAGTATTTGTTAAAATAAAAATAATAATTCCGTTACCTTTGTTATTAAATATTTATAGTCAGGTGCATTCTTTAGGAAAGTCTTTATGTCTTCAGGCGAAAAAATTTTGGATTTTTGGCTTTTAAAACCATCAGATTTTCTTTTCAAAAGCGAACGTAACTTTGGATATTTACTAATATCGACATCATTTTTAACAGAGAGTATAGTTCTTAGCATCGAATAAATGGACCATAACGTCGACGGTTTAAAATTTGAACATATTTCTCCAAAGTATGCTAGTAGTACAGTTTCCGAAAATGATTTCACTTTATTTTTTTCTCTCCAGTCCAAAAATTTGATATAAATTTCTTCATATCTCTTTTTTGATTTGGCCGGTAATAAATCTGAAGAGGTTTCTTCAGCTTTAAAAATAACTTCTGGGGGAGTACAATCGCTTTCTGACTCAGACATCATGAAAATGTGTTAAATTTAGGACGAACTGAAACTGACAGTTCTCAAAAGTGATAAAACTTCAAATAAACAAATGAAAACCAGGAAACTAGATGTAGATTGGTTTAATTTGCACTATTTTTATACATTTTTATTTTATCTTTAATTCATTAAAGTTTAGGTAAAAACGCATATAGAATGAGCATCTTTTTATTTTATTATTAATAATTATAAGCTGCCAAAATATTATACGAGGCGACTGATATATGAAAATATGTAATAACTTACTTTCGTCACTAGAGACGAAAGTAAACGTTATGGGATTTTTTCTCACTAGTGACGGAAATCAAGTTTTCGCTGAAAGTATCCTGTGGCGAAAGATGTCTTTTTGTAAGAGTTCGTAGAAAAAAACCTTTTATTATGCGGTGTCTCCTCTTTTAATTCAAAAATTTGAAATGTACAATAATTACCCTTCTAAAGAGGGAGACCTAAGGGGTAAAG